GTAACCTCTGCCTTCTGGGTTCAAGCACTTCTCCTGCCTCAGCCTCCCAAGTAGTTGGGACTACAGGTGTGTGCTACCACACCCAGCTAATTTTTTGTATTTTAGTAGTGACAGGGTTTGTCTGTGTTAGCCTGGATAGTCTTGATCCCCTAACCTCGTGATCCACCTGCCTCGGCCTCCCAAAGTGCTGGAATTACAGGTGTGAGCCACTGCACCTGGCCCTGACTGTGTATTTTCAAGCAGTCTGCCTTTGAGCTCACTGATCCTTTCTTCTTTTTGATCAATTCCTCTGATAGTCTCTATTGCATTTTTTTCATTTCATTCATTGCATTTTTTACCTCCAGAATTTAATTTTTTAAATCTTTCTGTGAACTTTCTCTGAGCGATTTCTCTGAGCTTTCTTGAAGTTCATTGAAACTATTGTTTCTTAAAACTATTGTTTTGAATTATTTGTCCAGGAGATCACACATTTTCATCATTTTAGGGCCAGTCTTGGTGCCTTAATTTGTCCCTTTGACATTATATTTCCCTGACTGTTCTGATGCTTGAAGTGTGATGATATCTGCACGGTGAGACATTAAATATTCATTTGAGTCTTCCTAATCTGGTTTCGTTTGTGCCTGTACTTCTACAGAGGGCCTTCCAGGGATTCTAAGTGTTCATTCTGACTATTGTATTCCCTCTCTGTGACTCGCAGTCATGTCAGCACTCGAGGATGCTCTATACCCAGGCTTGCTGTGAGTCTCACAAGGGCCCTGCGGTTTTTGTGGCTTTCTGGCACAAATGGACCTGGGGAAGACCCAAGGACAGTGCTTGTGTTATGTGAGAACACTAGCCACCAGGGACCTGAGTCCTGAAGACCATCCTAGTGGCTCAGACAAGTTTACTTCCAAGCAGGTCTCTGCATAGGTTGGGTCCCCAACTATAGCAAGAGGGGCAGAAGTTGAGACTAGACCCTTTCGGAATCTGTTCTAGGAAGGAGGCTGATGGGCCTTTCTCATTGGCTGAGACAGGCACATGTTACCCAGCAAGTCTCTGTACAACTGGAGTAGTTTCTTACCCATAACAAAAGGAACTAGAGCCAAGACTGGGCCTCCTCAGGTCTGCTATGAGATGGAGGCTGGCATGCCTGCCACATTGGCTGAAATGGGCATGCATCTTCTAGTAAGTCCCTGCATAGACAGGATAGTTCCCCAACTATCAGCCAGAACTGGAGCAGAATCCAGGCCTTCATGGGAACTGCTGTGAGACAGATATTGAAGGGCTCAGTCTTGGCTCAGAGGGGTGTGTGTCACCCAGTAACTTCCTGTGCAGATAGAATAGTTACCGGACTGCAGAGAGAGGGTCTGGAGCTATGACTGGGCCTCTTGGGATAGAAGCTGGAGAGCCCAGTCTTGTATCTGAAGGCGTGTTTTCCAGGAAGACACTGCATCGGTAGATAGTTCCATGACTGCAGCAGGAGATGCTGGACAGGGCTCCCTGCAGGTCTTAGCACAAATGGGCTAGTTCTGTCACTGTCTTCAGTCTCTTTTGTCTAATATTGGTAGATGCACTCCAACTCTTATGGTTACTGTTTGCCTTATCTATACTTATATGTTCAAGCTATTGTTTATTTATATTTGAAGTGCATTTCTCATAGGGAACATATAGTAGAGCCTCACTTTTTAATCCCATCTGATGATTTTTGCCATTTAATAAGGGCATTTTAGACTATTTACATTTAATATGATTATTGATATAGTTTTGTTTGAAATATTACTTTTCTGTTTTCTATTTGTTTCATCTGATCTTTGTTCTCTTTTTTATCTGCCTTCTTTTGGATTTGTTAAACATTTAAATGGTTCCAATTTCTATCTTTTGCTGGTTTATTAGCTATTACTTTTTATTGTTTAATTCTTGCTTTAAGTGTTCGTAATACACGTGTTTAAGTTACCACAATCTAATTTCAAGTGATATTATGCCACTTCTATAAGGAATAAAAACCTTTCTTCCATTCCTCTCCTCTGCCTGTCATGTTATTGTAATCAAATGTTTTCATTTTACATATGTCATTCAGACATCACACTGTGATTTTTGTTTTTTAAGTAATGCTACACATTTCCCCATGTGGTTGTCATTTCCAAAGCTCTTCATTCCTCTGTCTGTATTCCTTGTGTTTTTGCTTATGGTGAATTCTTTTAGGATTTTTAAGTCTAAAGATGCCTTCATTTCCCTTTTGTTTTGGAATGATACTTTTGCTGGGTGTATGTTTCTAACTTGACAGTTCTTACTACTTTGAAAACATCGCTCCACTGTATTCTCACCTGCATTATTTACAGCGAGAAATCTGCCATCATCCTTATCTTTGTTCCTTTATATGTAATGTGCTTTTTTTCCTGTGGCTTTTTTCAAGATTTGTCTTTACATCACTGGTTTTGAGCAGTTTGGTTATAATATGGCTTGATGTAGTTTATTTATTTGTGCTTGGGGCTCACTTAGCTTTTTGAATACATGGATTTATGACTTTCATTAAATGTGGGAAATTTTTAGCCATTATTTTTCTCAAATGTTTTATTTGTATCATACTCTGTGTCTTCTCCGTTAGGGACTCCAGTTACACATATTTGGACACTTAAAGTTGCCCTACAGCTATTTTTTTTCTTTTTTTGCTGTTTTTTATTTGTGGGTTTTTTGTTTTGTTTTTCAAATTTTCCCTGTATATTTTATTCTGAATAATTTTATTGCTGTTTTTTGCATTCTGTGATATCTAATCTGCCATTAATCTCATTTAGTGTTTTTTTATCTCAAATATTGTAGGTTTTATCTCTAGAGGTTCAGTTTTGTGTCTTTTTAAATATATATTACATGTTTCTACTTCACTTTTTGAACATTTGAAATACAATTGGAATAACTGTTTTACTAAATAGCTGTTTCTGTCAATTCTAACGTCTATGCTAGATGTTGGTTGGTTGGTTGGTTTCAACTATCTCTTCGTTATGGGTCTCACTTTCCTAAGTCTTTCCATGCCTGGTTGGTTTTCATTGAGTGTTGAGGGCTGGATATCTTTGCACTTTGTAAATATTCTTAAGCTTTGTTTCAGGATGTAGTTGCATTACTTGGAAACAGTTTGATCAATTTTTATTTGTTTGTTTTGCTTTTAATATGTGTTAGGTGGGATCGGGTCAGTGCTCAGTCTGTGGCTAAGTATGCGAAATACGTCTGGGTATTCAACCCAATGCCCTGTGAATGCTGAAGTTTTCCAGACTGCCTGTTAGGAAGTGGCACTATTCCTGGCTTCATGTGAATGCTGTGCAGCATGATCTCCAGTCTTTTTAGGTGGCTAACTTCTGAGCCTTGAAAATAGTTTTCTCACATGAATGTTGTGTTAGTACCTTTTGCATTGCTATAAAAGAACACCTGGGGCCGGGTAATTTCTAAAGAGGTTTGTTTTGCTCATAGTTCTGCGGGCGATGCAAGAAGCGTGGCACCAGCATCTGCTTCTGGTGAGGCCTCAGGAAGCTTATGACGATGGTGGAAGGTGAAAGGAGAGAAGGCAGGTCACATGGCGAGAGAGCGAGAGAGAGAGAGAGAGAGAGAGAGAGAGAGAGAGAGAGAGCAGGAGAGAAAGCAGGGAAGGCGACAGCCTCTTTTTTTTTTTTTTTGAGATGGAGTTTCGCTCTTGTTACCCAGGCTGGAGTACAATGGCGCGATCTCGGCTCACCGCAACCTCCACCTCCTGGGTTCAGGCAATTCTCCTGCCTCAGCCTCCTGAGTAGCTGGGACTACAGGCACATGCCACCGTGCCCAGCTAATTTTTTGTATTTTTAGTAGAGATGGGGTTTCACCATGTTGACCAGGATGGTCTCGATCTCTTGACCTCGTGATCCACCTGCCTCAGCCTCCCAAAGTGCTGGGATTACAGGCTTGAGCCACCGCGCCCTGCCGGCGACAGCCTCTTTTAAACAACCAGCTTTTGCATGAACTTGAAGAGCAAGAACTCACTCATTACCATGGGAAGGGCACCAAGTATTCATGAGGGATCCACCCCCAAGACTCAAGCATCTCCCACCAGGCCCCATCTCCAACACTGAGGATCACATTTCAACATAAGGCCTGTGTCCTCAGTGTTGGAACCTGGTGGGAGGTGTTTGGGTGATGGAGGTGAATGGCTCATCTCCAACACTGAGGGTCACATTTCAACAGGAGATTTGGAGGACACGGACGTCTAAACTGTATCAGATGTGCTGCCCAGTACTCAGCTGACCCTCGAGGGCCTCCCGCTGATCTCTGGAGTTCTCTCCTCGGCAGCACTCTGTCCTGTAAATTGTTAACACCTTGGTCTCCCTGAACTTCAGCAGGAGATGTGTTCATGGGCAAGTTACTTAACTTTTCTGAACTGTGATTTTCTCATCAATAAAGAAAGGATAATAGTATTTAGCTTATGTTTTTATCATGGGAACTGAATGAGACTGATGTTTGTACACTGCCTGGCACTTGGCAGATACTCAGCAAATATTTGGGTCTTCCCTGTCTATACAGGTTGTTATTTCTTCCTGATTTTTGCCTTTGGTTTGCAACCCAATTCCTGGCTGAACTTTGGGTTGGGTTCGGTATGATGACCAACCAAAGCACATAATCACTCAGGAGCCATTCAGGTTTTAACTTGATGAGTTTCACAATTCTGCTGTTCAAGTGACATTTGGGTAGAAACGTATCCTCCTTTAATTAGACATTGATTTTCTCCAAAATCTCCTTCAGTCCAACCTACAAGGATAATCTGGATTCATTTGTGGTATGTCAGCAGACTCTAGAAGGTCTGGTGTGTGGGGGAAAGAATTTGCGAGAACCAGTGCTTCTGCAACCCCAGCATGGTTCTGCTGGCATTTCCTACTGGGTCATGAACTTCAACCTTTTACTTCCCCTTTTCATTTTTCCTTAGATTTCCAAAGGAGCTGCATGAAGAACAGATGAGTGTTTGTCAGAACGTAACCCCTTCTCTTTTCTCTTCTCTCCCCTGGTAGTGTCTGGAGGTCGCAGCCGCCTGCATCTCATTGATCTTGGCAGCTGTGTGAAAGCACTTAGCAAAAATCGAGACGGAGGCTCAGGGCTGTGCCTCTCACTGTCTGCTCTGGGCAATGTCATCCTGGCTCTGGTCAATGGCAGCAAACACATTCCGTACAAGTAAGTGACTCTTCTACTCAAAGAATGTGGTGGGGTCAGCATGGTGTGGGACGCTTGGTCGGTGCCGTCTCTGAGGTGTGCCACAGAGGGACAGCCTGGACTTCATTGCAAGTTCAGTGCCAGAGGTCAGCCTTGGCCAACAGCTGTGTAATACATGATTTTCCAAATTCAAAACTTTTGGAAACACTGAAATCTATTCCAGTTCTAACTTTAGGCTGCTCAAATGAGAGGAAGTAGGAAATTGTCTCAGTTGAGGTCTCCACTCGCCACTGAAGGTCATTGTCACCGTAACAAAGAGGCATCTGTTTCATATTGATGACAGTGAGGGTGGAAGCCTGGCTCACCCTTCGGGTTAGTGCCACCAGACTTAACCAGAAGAATGTATAGGATATCCAGGCAAATTCGAATTTCAGATAACCAGCAAATAGGACTGTATTATAAGTATGCGCTTCAACACTGCACGGGGCACTCCTGGCATCACGTATTGTGTCTGGCAGCCCCACCTAGGGAGCTTAGCAAGCTTGAGAAGTTACCGCCCACCTTCCCCTGCAAACGTTCACTGACTTCCAGGGTCCTTCCCTGTCTTTAGTACTGCTCCAGGACCGTCACTTTATGTCTGGCAAAGACAAAGCCACTCTTCACCACCATCACCCCAAATAAGTGTTGTCACTGGACAGTGGGGTGGGCACTTGGCTGGCTGTCCAGGCTCTTTCCAAAGCCTAGAAGAGCCTCGTACCAGCTGCGTGAGCCTCCATTCTTCCTAAAATGAGGGTTAGAGCTGTACATGTTGCTTACATCACAGAAACAGAAGGCTCAACGAGATAGAACATATATACAAGTGTATTATATTCTTGACCAATAACCAGTGATGAAAGTCTGGTTAAACCTCTCTGGTCAAGCCTGTCCTCACCTATTTAAATGGAAAAAAACACTGACCTTACGGAGTTGCTGCGAGGATTAACTAAACGTATGTGGATTCATGGTTTATCTGTAAAAATCCTCCCAAACGTAAGTTACCATCATGTGGGAGTAAAAAGTCAGGCAGTGTATTCTACCATTACTGAGACTCAGGATGAGTGCTGGTTTTCTTTCCCTCTGCCCTCTGTCGCTGCCAGACCCCCCACCAAATACACTGTGAGTTTGTTTTTTACCGGGAGACCATTACTGGACTGACTTTAGGATCTTTGATGGTGATTATAATCCCGTCCATCTGAACTCGTGAAATTTGGGAATCTTACTTGGATAAACACAGAAACGGTTTTCCCAGCTCTTGCAACAACCCTTTTCTATGGGGAAAAAATTCAAGTTGAAGAATTACAGAGTTTCATTTGATGTCATTTCTGTAGTTGAATCAATTCAACTTGTGGAGAGAAAGGGCAGGGGAGGGAAGCCGCTGAGTTGGAAATGAAGGAAAGTTACTGGCCCTTACTGGTTTCCGTACAAGGGGAGTCGTGTCTGTTAATGCGGGGACTTCGTAGATTGTGATGTAGATATAATTCCAAATTGCACCTTGTTAGGGGTCACGATGACACATTTTACTCGTGGCTTTTACACTGTTGCTGCAGGGCGACATGCTTTTATGATCTCTCTACGTAGTTGTTGAATTGATAGTGGGAAAGATGAATGTAAACATATGAAATTATTTTTAATTTAAATGAAGTAACTTCCTTTTAGTTAGAGTTGGGTTTTATTATAAATGAGTAGGGAAACGTTAAAAATTGTTTTCATGGCCCAGCGTGGTGGCTCATACCTGTATTCCCAGCACTTTGGGAGGCGGAGGATTGCTTGAGCCCAGGAGTTTGAGACCAGCCTGGGCAACGTGGGGAAAACTTGTCTCGACATACATTAGCTCTGCGTGGGGGTGCATGCTTGTAGCCCCAGCTACTGGGGAGGCTGGGGCGTTGCTTGAGCCCAGGAGCCAGAGGGGAGTTGAGATCACGCTACTGCACCAGCCTGGGCAACAGAGTGAGACCCCATCTCAAAAAAAAGTTTGGATTTACCGTTGAAGCCTCTTGTTAATTAAGCATATTTTTAACATCAGCTGGCCCTACCAGCTAGCCACGTGCCCTCCCGGGTGACACCACTCCCAGTCCCTGCAGACAGCTGCCTGCCTTCATTCCCAGAGTCCCCTTCCTTCTATTCAGGCACTGAGAGAATGATTCGTGAAGTGTTTCTGTGTCTCAAGTAAGCACAGACTAACATCCGCGTTGCACCAGCACAAGACCCAGTCCCGGAGCCGTCCCGCGGCCTGGTTCAACTCTTGGTCACAGGGATACAGACTGTCACCAGCTGCCCTTGCCCTGCTGTGCCTCACACCTCATCCAGACCTTGCTGGGCCGCCTGGTGCCGGAAACACAGTGGCCTGGCCGTGCAGCCAGGGCCGTCCTCCCCGCAACATCCACCGGCAGGTGCGTTTGTTCCATCCCTCCGTGTCCTTAATGTCTCTTATTGACCCTTGCCGTAATGTTTTCCCTGAGCCTGGCCACTGCCTAGGTTCAATATTTGGCATCTGCAAATTTACATTTGCAAAGTGATTAGTCCACTAGAAACTGTCCTCTTTTGAGGTACCGGAAGATAAGGGAAAGATGTACTCAAGTCACCCAGCCGGTGGGCGGCAGGATCAAACTGCCCCCTCCTCACAGCTTCAGAGGCCCGGACAGTCCCCACCGCCTGCAGACCCACGCCCCTTCTCTGTACACTCTATAACGCAGGAGCTGCCTTTGCTCAGCACAGCAGGGGAGCCCAGCACACAGCAGGGGAGCCCCGGCTTCTTTTATCAAGTCCGGAGCGCTCTGAAGCCACTTTAGGTGGTATTTTGTTAGCTTTCAGGGTGTCAAACCTTGTGTTTGCAATGGGTTCCTTAGAGAAGGGGAAGTTCCCTGCGCATTTGGCTTCCTCTTACTCCTCCTGCTCACTTAGGGGGAAAAAGTAGAAATTCAAATTCTGCATTCTCTCCCGTCCCCGCCCCTCCAGAACACAGACACCCCACTACCTCTTCATCTGTCTTCCCAGGCGTCTGTGCTTGGAAGCTGCGTGACACATGCTTGCTTCTGGGAAATTCGCTGGGATGCACAGAGGGGCTGTAGCCTGTGCTCATTCCTCTCCATCATTGTACCAGACTATTTGTCACATGAGCAAGCTGGAAAGTGAATCTGCATTCATTACCCATCCCAGGCTCTCCCACAGGCCTCCTCCATGTGCGCCGATTGGTTCTGACTTTGCAAATGATATTGCCCTTGAAGGTGCAAGAGGCGCAGAGCACATTCCCGACCTCAGCCATGACGCGGCGCAGGCTTGCCGGCCAGTCCAGGCGCCGTCAATCAATCCTAAGCAGTGGCAGCATTCAGGAAAGCATGCAGGGAGGGCAGGGAGACCGCCAAGGGCTCCACCCCCCTCGTCAGTTCTGCGCTGACAGGCTGCAGAGATTCCTTTCTAAGTTTTGGGAGCTTCCACGTCCAGGGAACCTGCCCTCATCCGAGCATTTCGATGGTGCCTTTGCACGTTTCTTTCACGATTCATTTGTTACGGTCATTTGTATTCCCTTCCGCCCTCAGCAGCAAGGTGGGAGGAGTCCTCCTATTTAATGGATGTGACTTCTCAGGCCGAGCCCAGTGTCCCGGGCACATACCACCGGAGCAGGCCCCCAGAATGGCCACCCTGAGGATCTGTCAAGGTGAACTGGGCTCGGGCTAAAGGGTATTATGTCCCAGCTCATCTGAAGGACCACAGGCTTTCTAGACGCAAATTCTAACCATGACCCAGTTCTCTCAAAATAGAATTTCTGGTTCTCATCAATGTGGCCTCGCCAAGGGCACAGACCTTAGGAGGTACCCCTTTCACGCAGGGCTCCTGCCTTTACCTTCATTTATGGGGTTACTCCTCATGGAGAAAGAATCCCCTTAATGGGTCATAGGACCTCTTTGCTTATTTGCCAACAGGGTGTTTCTAAACAGCAGCCAGTTGCTAATGTCTTGGCTGCCTTTAACAAGAGCTCAGGGAAGGTCATCCTGGGACCCTCTCATGTCGTGTCTGTCTGAGATGCTTCTCCCAGTCATCTTGAAAAATGGTCCTCCTAATCATCCCACGGTGGACGTGATGCCTGGCCCCTCCCTCTTCCAGGCTCAGTCTGTGCTTCAGACCCAGACATAATCCCTGTTTGCTGAGATCAGTCATTGAGTCAGGCTGGGTTTCAGCAGCTATGCCCAGCTCACCGCCTCCTCTCTGTGGTGCAGTCAAGGGAGCAGGCAGGTGGAGCCTGAGGTATTTGTGATCCCAAGCTGCCGTCCAGGAGCAAACATGGCAGGCAGCGTCGGCTTCCAGAAGCCTGAGTTCCACAAAAACGACGGGGACGCCCATCCTCAGGGGCTGTGATGGGAACTCTTTTCCTCCTAGGGCCCCAGCGAGGAGTCAGGAAGCAAGGTCAACTTTAAGCTCGTAGCATCGGAGCACAGCAGTTCATTCAAACCACAGGCAGCACTGGAAGCACACGTTGAAGTCAGTGACTTGAAAGGGACTCTGGGCATTTACCCAAAGGATTGTAAATCACTCTACTATAAAGACGCATGCACACGTATGTTCACTGCGGCACTGTTCACAATAGCAAAGACCTGGAGCCAACCCAAAGGCCCATCAATGATAGACTGGGTAAAGAAAGTGTGGCACATATACACCATGGAATACTATGCAGCCATAAAAAGGATGAGTTCATGTCCTTTGCAGGGACATGGATGAAGCTGGAAACCATCATTCTCAGCAAACTGATACAAGAACAGAAAATCAAACACCACATGTTCTTCCTCATAAGTGGGTGCTGAACACTGAGAACACACGGACACAGGGAGGGGAACATCACACAGAACCTGTCGAGGGAAGTGGGGGACTAGTGGAGGGATAACAGGGGGTCGGGATGGGGAGGGATCTCATTAGGAGAAATACTTAATGTAGATGACGGGGCGATGGATGCAGCCAACCACCATGGCACGTGTATAGCTATGTAACAA